CCTGCAGTATTCAAACACCACCTATCTGTTCGTTAGCCCTCGGCAGCGATGGAAGCGACAGAGGATGACCTATCAATATAAAATAACGCCATTTCTGTTCTACTACGCGGGTTAGTAACAAACTCTAAATCACCTCCTGGATTTTGTTGTGCTGACGCTTACGTGACCTTTTCACGCTAGAGTTCTGTTCTGAACTTGTTCAGTTAATATAACCTGCTGCAGTGAATTTATCCTCTGGAAAATGATTGCAATTAGCACGGTGAACCATTAGGTAGATATTTCTGTACTGACTGCAGGGATCCGAAACTGAATCTCGTAAGATTCGGTCTGTTCTAGAGCATGAAATACAGTTCACTGTGCAGCAGCAATATGCTTCTAGGGACAACTGACTGGCTAATTTCTGATATTATACAAAGCGCTCTAGTAATTTTCTCCCAACAAGCTGAAAAATATCATCCATTTAAAAATTCTGGAGTTCCTGTTTAATTTGTCAAGTTGTATGTTTTTGTTACTCTTCATATTATTTAACTTGCGGTTGATTTTATTAAAATAGCCTTCCTAAACCTACCATGAAGCTTAACTTTATTCAGAGCAATCAATCATAGAAAACTCAGGAAGAAAAAGGTGCCATCTACCAAGCAGGAGTGAGTGGATATTAAATTTGCCAGTAACAAATTATTTAAAGAAAAAAAAAAAAAAAAAAGAGACTTTTTTTTACTGTATTTACTCTCAAAAGCATAGGAAATTGCTCAAAGAGCTGACTCCACCCAATATCACTATAAATGATGCCATGACCAGAAAAAGCTTAGTACAGAATTAAGGACGCATGATACTGTTGTCTTTTCAGGATGCTGCATTCAGCAAAACTCATGCTTCCCAACTCAAAGGGTTAACAAAAAATTAACGTTTCCAATTCAGGAGACAGCCAGAGCGCATGTATTTGCACTCCTTTGAACCTGAGCTTTCGGTCTGGAACTAATCAACGGGAACTCATCCACCAGCAGTCCAGCTCCGCTCTCCACGTTAGGCTTTGCTGTGGTGCACGGGGCAGGCACTGACCGGAGCAGCTTGGCAGGTATCAGCCACGAGACAAGAGCCCAGAGACGTACCTTGCTGTCTGCTCCTCTCCCCCAGCCCTCCCCTGTGAAAGGAGCCAAGAGAAGCGCTTGTGTGTGCGTGTGCGCCTCCCTCGCTGCTAGGGTTGCAAGAGGGGCACAGGAGACTTTTTGTCACGGAGATTCAGCCATAATTATCTGGGAAATGAAGGCAGGTAAGCGAAACAGCGGGATGAGATGACAAACGACATAGGAAAGAGCGAGCGAAATACAAAGGAGGTTTGTAGAACTCCAGGGCTGTAGGAGAGGCTGCCCTCGAGGCTGCGGCACCGCTCAGAGGACGCAGCCACACAACGCTAAGCATTCGTTCGTAGGCACCAGGAATGGGCTTGTTCAATAGCTGAACCTTTGGTCTTTTGCTGAACTCGACTTCGAAAGGGCAGCAGATGGTACAGAAACATCTTCATCCACTCACAGCGATTTTTCTGTAACAAATTTCCTAGGGGCTTTTTTAAAATGATTATTACTACTTTATGTGCTGCTTGCTTTTAAACACAAACCAGAAGCATTCTTCCTGGAGTTTGCACCGGTACTGAGAACTGTAGCAAGGAAGGAAGCTTGCATCTGAAATACTACAGCGCAGAGGCAGAACCGCAGATCACAGCCCTCAGGAACCGGGTGATCTTTTCAAACTGCGCTCCCACCCCACCCTGTTCCAGGACATCCAGGTAAACCAGATGCAGCAAGTCTGAAGACATTTCATTCAGTTCTGTTTTCCTTTTCCAGCCTGTGATTTTTTTTACCCGTTTGCCTGATATCAGTGCATTTGTCATCCGACCAAGTGAGTGTTTCTGTGAAGGCACAGGCAACCCCTCCCCGCTCCTCACACCCAGGTATGAAACCCTCTGGCTTTCCTGATGCCAGCCCTTGACCTGCCTCTCCCTCTGAAAGAGCAGGATCTTGGACACCCTCCTCCTCCCCAAATGTCAGCAGCTACATGAAGTGAAACCCCAATTCAAACGCTTTAGGACTAGCTACTCCCAGCAGGTCAAGGTCCGGGTAAAAAACAGAGAGGATGTGGGCAAGAGTGGAAAAGACTTCATTTTTGGAAGTCACCTCAATAGCCCATTGGAGGTTGTGTGTGTTTGTTGGTTTTTTTTTTTTTTTAATAATTCCCTTTTTTCAACTTCTGAATCAAGGCACAGTTAACTTGTAAAAGGACGAGGCAGATCAAGGTATCAACCCCCACTGACAATTGTTTGTGTTCCTCCTGAAAAACGTAAGAGAACTCAATCACAAGTGTTGATTGAAGGCTGGCCCTTTTTCACAATACCCAGTATTTCAGCACTAACACCAGCCCTCTAAATTAAACACCCATTCCATCTTTCACCAGTTTACTGTGCATACCAGTATAATTTGTACCAGTAAGTTTTTCCTTTGATTTCACAAATAGCTTACACAGCATTTTTTTTCCCCAAGCAGTTTTCTGTACCAAAATAAAAAAGCCATGAGTTGAGAGCTTTTTCTGTACAACACTAGATGAAAACTACAGCTAAGGCTGCAAGCCAGAAGCACATCACGAGAGCTGAGCAATTGTAAGGTGAATGACACTGAAACTAGGAGGAGGAATTTACCACACAGTCTGAAAGAGTAACTCCTACTCCTTACCTACCTAAACATTTTCCTTTTTATTAAATCACTGCATGTAGGTTCTGTTTGTGTGGCACTTGGCATGGAAATACTGTTCTCCAGCATTGAGGTGGTAAAATTTGAGTGTCATAAGACCACGCAGCTCTTGAGACACAGCACTTGACAAAAAAGCAGAAATGCTTTATTTTTGAGGAGGAAAAAAACCGTAAGTAAAACCCTTTAGTTTGTGTTATAGA